TATGCACCCATTTTACACTATTTATATAACTATGTTTACATTATTGAAGTTAACGTTAACGGTAATTAGAAACAATCCTTCAGGAACGGGGAGAAATAAACAAAGAAAGGAAACTGTTTTTAAACATTAATAGCAACAAATTTAGCAACCCACTACAACCTGACCGCATCAAAAAATTCTGGTAGCTTATGCTTCGCAGTACGACTCTGATTAAGAAGATAGGTGTAGATGCTACTAAGACTCTCAACATCCTTCTTTCTGTTGAGGCTATTACTACAACAGTTAATATAACACATCTCTAAAAACTTACGTTTGAAGAGGTTCTTTTCACTCTTTAATACTACCGCTTCATCGTACATGACACTATGCCCGGTATCATTGACATGAGCACTTAAACTAGTGGTATTTGGTTTTAACTTACAATCACTTTTATGAAGTGTTAGCCGTTTTTTTAATTTCTGTGAATTATGACCAATGTAAATTAAATTGCAAGAGCATTTAATGCAAATACAACGTCTGATTTTTGTAACGATGGGGTAATGTCTTTAAGATTGGAATAGAAAGATTTAAGGGGTCTCAAGTTGTAATTGGCAATTTTTATATTAGCATCTTTAAAGATCCTAATCAGAGCCGGGGACAATCTATCTATATACTGTAGTTTGCCAAGACTAGGCAACTCATTATTAACATTAAGCTGTGGTTGTAAAGCATTAGGCAGGTCTGTAGTGGCACTATTACAGGAGAGAATTTTATTTATTAACGATGGTGGGTATTTATTATTAATTAGTAGATTCCTTATTTAACAGACTATGGTGACAATTTTTTTTAATGCGATCAGTCAATGCTACAATCATATTGATCTTTTGTTTTTTAGGGTGATACGATGTGAAGGGAATGTATCTACCGGAACTAGTAACTTTTCTATGCCAATCAAGAATAACTAAATTTTCACTAGTGCGAATGAACTTTGTGTCAAGGAAAGGGACTGAACGATCTGTCTCCGTCTCCACCGTGACAGTGAGATCGGAATGAAAGGAATTGAAAATTTCAAGTGTGGATTCGATAAGGTTAAGTGGAACTGCTGTTAATAAATCATCCACATATTGATATATGAAGGGGAATTCAAAACTAACTCTGTCTATCACATAATAAAGTAATTTGTTCATAACAATCTCAGCAATCACAGGGGAGGCCGCACCCCCCATAGGAAGGCCCTTCACTTGTTGGTAGAATTTTCTTTCAAATGAGAAAAAAGTATTATTATATAGAAAAGTTACCGTATCCAAAAACTCCCTCCTAGGTAATGTACAGTTGTTCTCAACCAAGTCAAAATGTTCCTCTATAATATCAACAACTAACTGTAATGGAATATGAGTAAATAAGGACACTACATCGAACGAGACAAGTGAAAAATCAGATGGTAAAATAGACTCATTAATACGCTCCGCAAACTCAAAGCTATCTTTAACCCTAAACTTATTGAAGCTACTAAAAGACTTATAAAGAATTTGACTGATAAATTTAGCTAAGGGTTGCGTCGACGCACCTACACATGAAACAATAGGGCGTAAAGGGTAACCATCTTTATGTATCTTCGGCAACCCATAATATTTGGGGCAAACACCATTGTAGGTTTTGAGGTTACGAGCCGTGGTATCATCAATATAGCCAAGGTTGTTAATTTTCTTGATAATATTATTGCATTGCGTTTCTATTGAATGTGTAGGGTCCCTTATTACAGGTAGGTAAGTGTTAGCATCATTTAATAATATGAGAGATTTTTCTATGTAATCCTCTTTAGTCATAGCCACCGTGACATTACCCTTATCAGATTTAGTGATAACCAAGTTAGGATTAGCTTTTAAAAATCGTTTCGTACGACGCTCTATATCATATGTAGGTGGGGCGACACTAGCAACAACACTAGAATTAATGTAATTAGTGATGAGATTAGTGGCCCTCGTTCGCAGGAGGTCTCGTTTTTGTTCATCTGAGTTCTGGATAATGATTTCTACCTCAGAGAGTAGTTTAAAGATATCTATATGTTGAGGTGAAACAGGAAGGCTAAATTTAGGACCAAGCGAAAGAAAACCTCTAACATCATCAGGAATCTCAATATTGGACACATTCTTGAACCAATTAAAATTGTCAGTGGTATATAAATCACTACTATTAGCTTTCCTTGATTATAACTTTCGAAGGTTAGACTTTTTTATCTTGTTAAATAGTGTGTCATATTTAATGTTTTGTGTATATAAAAATTCGTCAATGTGGAATGTTACATCTTAAGAAATCAACAGCCCAACTAAGTCTAGATTCCAACATCTTAATTGCTCGACAGGTGTCATAGATAGTAATGTTATGTTCTGAGTTAAAAATTCTATTTGTGAAGTGTTACTGTGGTTGAGTCGTTGAGGTATCTTCCAAAAATGTTGTGTACTATTCTCCAAAAATCGGGGGGTAAGGTGCAATCTTCTGCATTCTAACAAGAAAACGCGTCTGTTACGTTGATGTGCAAGTCTTCTATTAGTGTTGGTGACCGTTTTTAGTGCTCTGGCCACAGCTGGTCCAAATTCCATTGTCATCCTCTGATAAAATGATCAGATGATCTACGTCTACAAGAAGAAGCGAAGGAGAGTAACGGGGCTACTGGTAACACTCAAACAAACTGTTAATTATTGGGATCACCCCAACTTCGATGGATCGCCGTAAAGGGAGCAATAAAAGATGTTGAAGCTCAAAGCAAAGTGGCAATTTATTGTAATATCTAGCTTTCGCCCATGGATACAGGCTTCATCAGGACACTAAGTCATATAGAGAACAAAAAAAAAACACTTCATCAGAGTTAACAATCTAACCAAAAATAGTGAAAAAAAAACTTACATAACACGCCTCTTTCAATTTCTACATATAGAGAGATGACATTGGTATATAAAATAAAGTGTTTCGCTCGTTCTAACTATCAACATAACACTCGATGGATGAAATTTATGAAAAAAATTTACAATTGTAAAAAATATTAACATCCACCACAACGTTACAAAACAATCCCACTAACATAAAACGTTAAGGTCAATAAAATATCCGGATTGATAAAATATTAAAAGATGAAAAAAAAAACAGCCGATTTGTTACAAATGACACTCCGTATTGTCCAGAAGGAAAACTAAATGTGCGGGAACTTATTAACAATTTGCAATAACCTAAAAAAGCCACAACCAAAAAACCAGTCAATGATGCCAATTGTACAGCCAACCATAACACATGTAAAACACCAAACAAGGGAGGGAATTTCAAACAGAATTCTTTCAAATATGCACCCATTTTACACTATTTATATAACTATGTTTACATTATTGAAGTTAACGTTAAGGGTAATTAGAAACAATCCTTTAGGAACGGGGAGAAAGAAACAAAGAAAGGAAACTGTTTTTAAACATTAATAGCAACAAATTTAGCAACCCACTACAACCTGACCGTATCAAAAAGCTCTGGTAGCTTATGCTTCCCAGTACGACTCTGATTAAGAAGATAGGTGTAGATGCTACTAAGACCCTCAACATCCTTCTTCTGTTGAGGCTATTACTACAACAGTTATATAACACATCTCTAAAAACTTACGTTTGAAGAGGTTCTTTTCACTCTTTAATACTACCGCTTCATCGTACATGACACTATGCCTGGTATCATTGACATGAGCACTTAAACTAGTGATATTTGGTTTTAACTTACAATCACTTTTATGAAGTGTTAGCCGTTTTTTTAATTTCTGTGAAGTATGACCAATGTAAATTAAATTGCAAGAGTATTTAATGCAATATACAACGTCTGATTTTTGTAACGATGGGGTAATGTCTTTAAGATTGGAATAGAAAGATTTGAGGGGTCTTAAGTTGTAATTGGCAATTTTTATATTAGTATCTTTAAAGATCCTAATCAGAGCCGGGGACAATCTATCTATATACTGTAGTTTGCCAAGACTAGGCAACTCATTATTAACATTAAGCTGTGGTTGTAAAGCATTAGGCAGGTCTGTAGTGGCACTATTACAGGAGAGAATTTTATTTATTAACGATGGTGGGTATTTATTATTAATTAGAAGGTTCCTTAATAACAATAGGTTCTTATTTAACAGACTATGGTGACAAATTTTTTTAATGCGATCAGTCAATGCTACAATCATATTGATCTTTTGTTTTTTAGGGTGATACGATGTGAAGGGAATGTATCTACCGGAACTAGTAACTTTTCTATGCCAATCAAGAATAACTAAATTTTCACTAGTGCGAATGACCTTTGTGTCAAGGAAAGGGACTGAACGATCTGTCTCCGTCTCCACCGTGAAAGTGAGATCGGAATGAAAGGAATTGAAAATTTCAAGTGTGGATTCGAAAAGGTTAAGTGGAACTGCTGTTAATAAATCATCCACATATTGATATATGAAGGGGAATTCAAAACTAACTCTGTCTATCACATAATAAAGTAATTTGTTCATAACAATCTCAGGCCGCACCCCCCATAGGAAGGCCCTTCACTTGTTGGTAGAATTTTCCATCAAATGAGAAAAAAGTATTATTATATAGTTATATAGTTTATATATATATATATATATATATATATATATATATATATATATATATATATATATATATATATATATATATATATATATATATATATATATATATATATATATATATATATATATATATATTTAACGACTTTATCAAGCCCAAAATCGCATATCTCGCATCTATTGCGAAGCCGGACAAATTTTTGCGTGGCGTCGTAAATTTTCGTGTGTATAACTGAAGATATAGTGACATCTATTAAAATAGCAATTAGGCTATGGGACTGAATTTAATGTTGTCTACACAATGCAGAAAACTGTTTGCCTGAATGCTCAACCCGAAGCCATATATTTAAAGTTATTTAAACAAGGCATGGGCTTCCTAATGTTGTTACACATCTCAAAATATACACGTGTAGTTCACAGAGATCGCCACCAGGTGGTGCTTCCAAATATACACGTGTATATTTGGATCGCCCGATGTATATAGATGTCCTCGCTTCTGCAAAGCCAGGAAAAACGGCAACATTGCCAATTTCTTTGGGTTGAATTTATATTCATTCCGATACACATTTAATTTCGTCAGGAGCGCTTTTTTAGCGCGCGTGCTTTAACGGAGTTGGCTCATCAAAAGTGATGTTATGATTTCGATGAAATCAAAAATTATTCGTCGTCATTAGATAAAATGAAAAAATATGATCAATTTTTATTTTTTAGTGGCATTGAAAAAAAAACATTAATAAATCATTTTGCATATTAGTCTCATCATCATTAACTTTTGATATACTAATTTTGGCGAAAGAAGAAATTGTTTACTCACTGACATTCGGATTGGATTGCAGCAATTAACGTAAAATTAATGAAAATCAAATTCGTTGAATACAGGTTTATTTATCTTAAGGTGAAAGACAATTTTTGTTTCAATTGTTGATCACTTTGTATCTAAAAGTATTATAAACCAAAGTTTTTATCTTTATCCACTCAGTAATTGTTATATTATTCCGATATTTGGCAACATACTCTTCGCACTCGTGTTTCTTGGGAGTTATTTTTTCTTCTAAATGACTTTTAAAATAGTTCAATACTAACTTTTTCTCTTTGCTGTTCCATTTAACGCGACCTTTATTTTGAGATGATTTTTCCGGTACGTGTAAAACGTCTCTTGCACAATTAGTTTTTTCGGTTTCGTGATTAGTTTGTTGTATGTCTTCTGAAGACATAATAAATGTTGGTGCGTTATATATTTGTCCAGATGATTGAGGTTTCTGATTTATTTGTGTAATTGATGATTCAGTATGTTTTTTAGTTGGTGCGTCTTCGTCACTAGATTCTAAAATAGAAGCTTCTTCTTCAATTTCAATTTCACTTAAGCATTTTCCTTTAAACACTTTTCCTTTCCCTTTTTCTAGCAAAAGGAGAACTTTTGCGACTTTAACAGTCTGAAAAATGTCTTGAGGCAACCTTAAATTAAAAAAAATATATTCAACTGATGTGGCTTTTACTTGATGAATATCTATTAAACACGATTAAATTAGAACAAAAAATGTTGAGATTTTCACAGTTATTTATTATTTTAAGACAGCTGGACGAGAAAGAGCAATGGACTGTAATTTTTTGTTTAATTGAAGCTAGAAATAACGGGGCGATTCAAAAAATAATATATTGATGTAACGAGACGAAAAATGACAATCTCTTTTCTTCTTGGCCTACCTTGATGTAGCTCTGGCTGTTGACCGGCACAATTTCGCAATACTTGACGGCACTCGAGATATTAATTCTGGCACGCGGAAAATGCTCTCACATTGGTCTCTGCCTGAGTCGTACTAGTCCCGATCACAGCAAGTACGACACCCAAGCGACATACGAGTTTTTCTGGCCATATACCCAGTGAGATTGTCACCAAAATACGCGGAGAATATAATCGCAGCAATAAATTAAAAGAAAACCAATTTCAATTTGCTCGATATAAAAATTCCCCAATTACAAAAATTAAAGAGGAAAAATAAAACAAAACAATTCCAACTGGACGGAACAACAGTTCTAACGACAACACCGTGCCTTTTTCAAATACAAAATATGACGATACTCTGACAACTATATATACAATAAATTAGTAATAAATTCTTAATTACCGGTGTGTATGGCTGGATTTAAGTGAATTTCATATGTTCGTTAATCCGTTTCTTAAATGATCCACATTTCAACTTGTAGACTCCGGACTTTAGAGTTTTCCGTGATTTCTAACAAAAAACAGTTTCAAATAACTCGGAACTCTATCTATCTCTTATTAACTGCCGAACCCAAAACAATAAAATAAAATTTATATATATATATATATATATATATATATATATATATATATATATATATATATATATATATATATATATATATATATATATATATATATATATATATATATATATATATATATATATATATATATATATATTGGACAAATAGGTAGAACATTTAAGAAACGAATTAACGAACATAAAAGAGCGTATAAAAAAGTTCCGATTCTAACTATGCCATTCATTTAAATTTAGGTAAACAAAAAGTAAAAAACTAAATTTCATGGAAGCTATGGAGATTAATAAAATGCGATATTCGAATTTATTACTTAATGACCAAATGGACTTAAATGCGTGTCCGTTGTTAAATTTAAATTTATAACCCTACACCGGTAATTAAGAATCTATTATTATCTGATTGTATATATAGGTGTCAGAATGTTGTTAATTTGTATTTGATACACGCGACACGGTGTTGTCGAAACAGCTGTCATAAAGCAATACATTGTCTGAAAGTTTTTTGTTCTAATTTAATTGTGACAAAAAAAAATGCAGACACAGAATTAGGCATAGAATAGAAAGAAGTTGGTTTAAAGTAAATAATTATGTTTGCATTTGATTATATTTTAGTTAAAAAAGTTATTTTTAAAATTAAGTAGCTATAAAATCTCAATTACTTTGAGAATAAAAAAAATTATGGACATCAATAATCACTCACTGAGAGAGATTGAATGAAACAATCAACCTATGTTCAATATAATCACGATTTTAACAACCACTAAAAAGTTTTATTAAATAACTCACCTATAAAACTGAGCATGAGTTTTTCGCGTGTGCCCCATAAAGGTTACTACTTGCTCTATTTCATGCGGCTGCATTGTCATTAATTGCAAAGTCGTAGCAATATGTTTTCTAAATCGCGTGGAGGTGAGAAGTTGAGGGTGTTTAGCTCCACATTTTATAGCTAAGCGTCTAATGACATTTGCTCCAGAAATCCATTTTTTAGAACCAGGAACTGCGAATATATATGGGTTTGATTTTGGAATAAAATACGTCATATATCCTTTACCTTCTGTTACCACTCTTTTAAATTGTTTGGATATAATTTTTTCCACGGTTGTTAAGGATTCGGTAAATGTTTCCTGATCTAAGTGGTTATCATCCTTCATATACGTTTCTACTTTTAGAAATTGAACATCACCTACTCTTTTTCGGATTTAATGCGAAGCTTTCGTAAGAAATCATGATTTTTTAATGAAACTGATGCTTGAAATGTTTGGGATTTACTAAGGCAATTCTTTCCAGGGTTAATGATATCAGCAGGTTAATTCTTACATTTCTTGATATGTATATGTAATAACTTTTTAGAATAATGCCCCAAGCAATAAGAACACAGAAAATACTGTGTATCGGGTAATTTCGAATTTCTTATTGGATTTAGAATATTTTTTTCGACCTTGAGATGAAAGTGTGGTTGCTTTCTCAAAGCATTAATCATACCTAACCGCTCCTTACTACGTGGTGTAAGATTTTTAATCACCATCACGTCTTTGTGGCCTCCGTGATATCTTAAAAGGTGTCTCGTGAGATGCGTTATCACGTCGTTGAAGCAAATTGGACAAATTGTAGGTCTTTCTCGGGCGGAAGATTTCTTAACATAACGCTGGTTATCATCCTGCTAAAATCAAAAACAAATATAGTGTGGTTTGGTGAGTTTGCTGAGAGCAGCCGAGATTTTTTTAGGAGAGTTTGAACAGTGAGGTTTATAAGTATATAACTCTATTTAAAATTGAATAAAAAAGAAAAAAATGTTTTGCACGAATTTTTGCTTTTGCGATTGTCCCGTATGCACGTTGCTAATTATGCATTTCAGATATTCGACAAAAATAAAGTGGCTGGATTAAAATGTTATGCCACCTTATTTTAAGTTATTGTTATACTGAAAGTATCGCTTAAAAGTACCCGAAATTATAAAACTTGTTGCCGAAAATACCACGATTTGACTTACAAAAATGTCCGGTGGATGTAGAATGTCATAATTGTTCGGTATTTTTTGTGAAATCTGTAAAATAATTTCATTAATGAATATCCCAGAAATGAAGAAAAAGTAAATAAAATACCTCTTTAGTTATTGGCTGATTATTTTGTTGGTCTATTGGTATTAATATATCTGGTGATTTTACGGAGTTATTTACTTTTCCTTTATAACACTTTACTTGGTCGCACGAACGATTTCTGTTAACAGATACAAATGATTCTGTAGATTCGCTAGCACTAGATGATGGTCTATATTCTGAACCAGAATCTTCAAAATCACTGCATTGCATATCGTCATCACTTATGTCCCTTTTCTTTAGCACGGGAGGTGATTTTTTGGAGTCCTATTATTATTTGAATAGGAATTCCAAGTTTTGGTATATTTTGAAGATATGTGTGAGTTAAATTCTTTCAAACTTATCTCGCTCAAATCCAAATCAGTTGGAGGTATGATCGACGCCACAGAGTTTCTAAAAGATATATTTGTATTAATAATAAATTCTGAACCTAGGCCAATTGCTCTTGAGAGTAAATCGAATGTAATATAATGTCGAATGTAATATAATGTAATATAATGTAATGTAATAAGTACCTAGATGTATTGTCATTCTCTGAAGAACTACTGCTGAGGCTAAACTGATCTGGTGTGGGTATGTCTGGCATAGTGGGAACAGGTGATACTACATCTGCGGTATCCCAAGAATAATGTTCTAATTGCTAATTTGAAGTAAAAAATTGCTGTTTGCCCCAAATTTATTAAAATACAAATAAATTTCTGTATTTTACTCACAATATAAAAATTACTTTAAGGAAACGGATGGAAAAAAGTAGGCGTGGAATAATTCGCACGAATACTTACTTGCACCAGACTATCAGATGCCATGGTAACATTTATAGATTCATCACTAATAACTGCACACTTATTTTCCATAGCCAGTTTTAGTAAAAACTTGCTAAAAACACACATCTAATACAAACAAAATTAGACAGTACTATACAGTTTTATAGCGCATCGATACCAGTGACACTGTCAATGTATGCTCGCAGGGAGTAAAAACAATGACGTTGCAGGAATTCTTTAATAGTATGTTTAAATTTCCTATTGCTCATCTTTTTCACGGTACCTGGCAAAACATTATACAATTTCACGTTCAATGAGTTGTTCTCAGACTTCCTCAGTCTAAACCTAGGAGAGGAGATCCCCCGAACGAGTTGAATAGGCATGGCAATCGGAATTAGCGCTAAAGTTTCCTTTCGTTCTCTGTATCTCTAATAACTGGTAGTAGATATAGATGCAAGGAAGGCGCATCACTTTGAATTTTTTAAAATAAGGTTGACAATGGTCCCTAGTCACAGCAGCTGAGGAATCACCCCACAGTACCGTGCCATAGCATGGTGTAAATGCAACAAAGAAAAATAGACCATAAGCAGAGTCCTTGTTCCCATCAGGCCTCTCAGTCGTCGAAAAACGAATATGTTGCTGGACAATCTATTTTTCAGGTCTGAGATATGTTGTTTCCAATTTAGACTATCATCGATCCTAATGCCAAGCAACTTGACGGAATGTCCACTATTTACCAAGCAATTGGAGGAAATCACAATACTCTGGGTCTTGTCTAAATTTAATTTAAGATAATTATTTTCGAACCAGACATTAGCCCTGTCCTCCAACATGCCAACCCCAACGGACAACTCCTCGATACTCTATATATCTTATGGCTTCCTAAGCTTTATGGTATAGTTGTTTATAAAGGTTCTACCTCGAACCGCACCCCTCAAACCAGGCTTCCATTCCTATTCCATTCACCTATGGAACAAGATATATATATATATATATATATATATATATATATATATATATATATATATATATATATATATATATATATATATATATATATATATATATATATATATATATATATATATATATATACATATATTCTCACGTATTGATTCACTGATGGAAAAATGTGATGACACTATATTCCGGGATATCATCCGTTCGCTCGTTGAACTCCGACTGGAATCCTGCATCCGACTGGAATCCTGCAAATCCTGCATCCGACTGGAATCCTGCAGACGTTTCGCCAAAATCTCACTTGGCATCTTCAATGCTCGCGCTCCGAAAACACTTCGAACACTCGAATATATATATATATATATATATATATATATATATATATATATATATATATATATATATATATATATATATATATATATATATATATATATATATATATATATATATATATATATATATATATATATATATATATATATATATATATATATATATATATATATATTTCTAGTTTGTGAGTTTGTGAGTTCTTGGATCCTTTTGATTTTATATATTCTTAAGAAATGGTTCTTGGGTTTTTTTTGGTCCTTTTTTAGTGAAATTAAAATAAGTTTCCGTTACTTGTGAAACATTTTATTTTTTGTGACGTTTCGGCCTTCAAGACCTTCTTCAGATATTTAATTTTAACCTACAAAAATGTGTTTTTAAATAAAATTATTTATAGCATTGTTTTCCTGGTCATAATTAAAACATAGATAAAAATTTGTATAGGAGTCAGCATTGAAATGATTAAAAATTACTAGTGCAAGTCAATAGAACAAACAAAGTGATTAAAAATTGTATAAAAATAGATGCACAACAATAAAACATATACATAATTTTTTATATTACGATTACATACATACCTTAAGCCAAAAATCAACGGTTCACTATATAGTTGTTTGGTAATTTACAGTTTTACAACATTCACAACAGACATATTGAATATGTAAATCGACAAGCCACATTGATAAGACGACGAACCAAAACAATAATGCGAAGCCCGGATGTACGTTTCTTCACAGTAGGACAACGGAGTTTTTTTTTTCCTAAAGCTTTTTTTTTTTGTTTGTGTGAGATTCACAGGTTAATTTGTCTCTTTATTTAATTAAGTTGTGATAAATTTTGCTGAGATTTTTTGTGTCAGTCTTAGAGTTTATGGCGTTTGGATTTTTTTGGATCTCAATCATTTCATAAAATTCCCGTCTTTTTGTGTAAGCGTAAAATTTTCACACTTTGAAAGTCAAACGAGTGCTGATTCTCCCTGAAATGGCTCGAAAGAGCAGTGTTATTTTTTTTGTCATATTTATGGCCGTTTAAACGACTTTTTAAGTATTGACTAGTTTGTCCGATGTAGACACCGTTACAATTTTGGCACGGTATTTGGTACACCACGTGGCTTTTTTTCTCGTGAGGGATTTTTGATTTTAATTTACTAAAGTTTTGTTCTAATAGGTTATAACCTTTGTGTGCCACAGTAATGTCGTGTTGTTTGAACACATTGCACAAATTTTCCGATAGCCCTGGAACGTACGGTAATGGGAGATATTGTTTTTGAGTATTTTTCTTCTCGGATCTGTTACCAGCATTTTGATTGTAAAATTTATGTATCCGTTTATTGAAAATTTTATTTATTAATACATCCGGATAACAGTTTAATTTTAGGGCTTGTTTTGCTTTTTTAATAGCTTGCTGTCTGTACTCAGGATCGGACAGTTTAATAGCTCGGTCGGCTAAACCTATTATTACGGATTTTTTTTGAGTGATGGGATGTTGGGAGTTGAAACTTACATACCTAGATGACCAAGTATCTTTGGTGTACCATTTGGTTTTGATCTGGTCTTTGCTGTGGTATAGAGTCAGGTCTAGAAAGTTAATGGCGTTATTTTTTTCGATCTCTATTAAAAATTGAAGTTTGTCGTTGTATGAATTAAAATTCTCTAGAATATTATCGATTTCAGTTTTTGGGACAGCACTTACGCAGTCATCGACATAACGATAAAATAGGGGGATATGAAGATTTATATTTTTTAGTACGGATTCTTCCAAATCTTCCATTACTAACTGTGCAATAACACTGGAAATCGATGCTCCCATTGCACAACCATCGACCTGCCTGTAATATTTGTCATTGAATAAGAAATAGGTTGATGTTAATGTTAATTCTACAGCTTCAAGAAAGTGATTTAACGGAATATCTGTGAAATGTTTAATTTTTGGCCATTTTTTCTTTATTATATCTTTAGCTAAAGGGATGGGAATATTTGTGTATAGAGAAATGACATCTAACGAGATCAAAACATAGTTTTCAGGTATTCTGACATTTTTTATCTTTTCTTTAAAATCGAAAGAGTTTTTGATGTAATATTGATTTTGATTTATAACGTTTTGTAGTATATTTTTAAGGAACTTTGACAATTTTTCACAAGGGGATTGAATGCATGACACTATGGGTCTTAGAGGTACGCCAGGTTTATGTAGTTTAGGCAATCCATAGATTCTAGGAGGTAGTGCATTCTGTATTTTAAGATTTTTGGCTACATTCGGTGAAATAAAAAGTTCTTTTTCCCATTTTGATACCAGATCGTTATTTCTGTTTTGGAAAATGTTTGTAGGATCATTATTTATTTGTTTATATGTTTTGTCATCGTTTAGAAGGTCATACATTTTTGTGTTGTAGTCCTTTTCGTGCATAATTACGGTTTTGTTTGATTTATCTGGTCTTAATATTTTTATAGTTTTGTTTCTTTTTAGGAAAGCTTTTGTCTTTTTCAATTTGCTAGTAAAGATTTTTTTGTTTGTTTGGTTACTTTTTTGTTTAATAAAGTTATTTTTAAAGTTTGTAATTATGTTACAGGACTTGGCCCTTATTTCACCCCTTCCGCTAGAGACAGTGTTGTGTAATATAGTTTCAATGTTACAAATAATATCGGTGATGGGTATTTCTTCAGGTTTTTCTACTGGGACTGCAAAGTTTGGGCCTAGGGCTAATATGTCATTCACGTAGTTGGGGATTTCAATATCTGTAAGGTTTTCGATCCATTTGGAAGAATCAACACCGTTTGTCTGCGTGTTTAGCTCAGGGTTTATTTTTCTAATTTTGTTTACATTTTTTTCTTTAATGTTTTTAAATAAATTTTCGGTTTTAATTTTTACAATAGTTACATAGTTGTTAAAAATATTCGGTTCTAAAAGAGTTTTCAAAAATATTTCAATTTTTTCGATTTCCGATGTTAAATGGTTTATCGTATGGGTCGTCTCAGTAATTAGAAGGCTTAGGGTTTTTCGAACAAATGTTTTTAAAATTATTTCGTTGAATTTTCGCTCGAGGTACTTACATGAAAAATTGATATGTGCAACTTTAATTCTTAAAAACGTGGGTGTTAGATTGTCATCCTTACAACGCAAAAGAAAGATTCTACGGTTTTTCTGTTTACACAATTGTAGATTAAGTTTTGAGTACGCTTTTAGGTTGGTTGCCACCGTCTCTCCGTACTCTTCTCTGACGGTTGGAAAATGGAGCATATTTTCACCCATGCTTGGTATATTTTTCTAGTTTGTTCTATTTTTGTAGGTTAAAATTAAATGTCTGAAGAAGGTCTTGAAGGCCGAAACGTCACAAAAAATAAAATGTTTCACAAGTAACGGAAACTTATTTTAATTTCACTAAAAAAGGACCAAAAAAAACCCAAGAACCATTTCTTAAGTATATATATATATATATATATATATATATATATATATATATATATATATATATATATATATATATATATATATATATATATATATATGATGACACCATATTCCGGGATAACATCCGTTCGCTCGTTGAACTCCGACTGGAATCCTGCATCCGACTGGAATCCTGCATCCGACTGGAATCCTGCAGACGTTTCGCCAAAATCTCACTTGGCATCTTCAATGCTCCCGAAAACACTTCGAACACTGTTTTCGGAGCGCGAGCATTGAAGATGCCAAGTGAGATTTTGGCGAAACGTCTGCAGGATTCCAGCCGGATGCAGGATTTGCAGGATTCCAGTCGGAGTTCAACGAGCGAACGAATGATATCCCGGAATATAGTGTCATCACATTTTTCCATCCGTGAATCAATACGTGAGAATATATATATATTATAATGTTTCGCTGGAGACAAGAAGACTTGTTAAAAAATATAACTTATTTGCTTTTTGTAATCCTTAATTTTTAAATTCTGCATTCTGTATGCCAAATATTTCTATTTTAATATTTTGGCAAATCGTTTCCGTTTTAGTGTGATGTACTATTGCTTCAATGACTTGCTCCTTTATGTTAAGTTCCAGGGTTTATTAAATAAAGCAAACAACTCAGGCTCTTTTAATCAACTCCACTAAACATTTTGGCAAAATCTGTCCACAATCTTGAAAAAATTCATAAAGCAACAATTTCAGTCACATGTAGCAAAAATCTTGTGGGCTTTCAGTCGTCCTGTGACAAGTAAATTGCTGTGAGTGTTTAAAGCAAACTAACTTTAACAGAGTTCTGCGATTGCAGAACTCTTGCCTTAGACTAACATAAGGTATCCGAACATCTTACAAGATATTTAAACTCTGCGACCTTATTTTTTATAATTATAAAAAACCATATTCCAAAGTATTTGCAGCAAAGACTGCATGTTAGCATAGATGTATATACGTCAAACCGTCGTTTTCGGGCTATATTATAACACTATTTTGAACTATTCAAAAGATCCTCCTCTTAAATAATTGTAAAAATAGTTCATAAATTTCCGGCTAAAATACTACAATGAAAAAATTAATTTACCTTTAAACAAAATTATTTAATTCTTTAATAAAAGAGCAGTAATATATTTAATCAAAAAGAGT